TCTGAAACTCCATTCAGAGGTGCGATGACGTAGTAAAAAGCGTACCATTTTACGAGACAAAAAATTTAAATCTGTTAACTATAGAAGAATGTGACTGATGGCCCATGCATTATCACATGTATTACACGGCACAAAATGCCAATACGAACGGCGGACAATTGAGTTCTTCGTTCCGAATCACTTTAGGTGTATATCGTCTCTGCTTGACACTGCAACAGGTGCGCCTCATCTGTTGGTACTTCTTTCAAACCCATCTGTAGTTCCGGTATGAAACTGCTAAGTCATGTATTGGCCCAACGTCAATAAAACGGCTTTCAGTCGGAAACTTGGAAATGGAAAATCAAAGTAACCTCATCAACTAACGGAAAAACGAAGAGTAAATAGACGGTCATGAAAGAACAACGGATGTGTTTCGAGAGCTCTTCGTCGAATGGTCGTTGAAAAGGCAAATTGGAGAAATCGGTTCTGAGCGAAATGTGGGTTAAGTACGAACGTCGCTGCGGCGCTCTGTTCGCTGGCCGTCTCGCTTGAGTTTTCAAGACAGCTAATAGAAGGAAGACTTTCATGCGTAGGCATCGAGAACGTCAACTTTAAGCCAACCTTACGTGCTATGACACCTTGAAACAACAACACCACGCCCTTAATTCAGACACATAAATCATGGGGATGAAAAATCCGTTTCTGTTCCCTTAGAACCGACCGTCTTTTGGTCCCAAACCGAAAATGGTAACGGAGGCTTTGCTGATAATCAAGGTCTGTCGACCGATATTCAGATCTATCTGTCACGGAAAATGGATTCTCAGAGTACAACTCGGACAGAAGGAGTTTCTTTTATTCATTAAGCTAGTTTAAACCTTTTAATCAGGGACCACTCAAAAATGAAATGTAAAGTATATTAAGATAATCTCAGGTGACCTTTCTTGATCGATCGGATTCAGTTATCAGAAAAGTTGCGACGGTCACAATTGTTGCGTTATTCTTCTCTTCTTTGTTCTTTCCTTGTATGGCCTACACCGTTCTCCCTTGACAGAGTGGAAGTCGTCCCAAATCATTGGACGAGAACTAAATGGTCTTTAGCGAATCAGCGACTATCAGGCGACAACAGCCGCTTTTAATTGGTGCTCAGTGAAATGAGCTATGTGCTTCAATCGTATTTTCTCTCCTTGCTGTACTAGGGATGTCGTCGGGGAGCCAAATCCTCAGCATTCTTCTTTGCCATGTCTTTCTCAGTAACATACAGTATGGCTTTACAGGTTCCTCGGCAACAATATTTCGCGAGCGATACTTGTGTCCTTCTTGCTTTGCGTGTTTCTTGGTTGAGATCCAGCGGGTTAGGTAGATCAACGTGATGTTGATCCAAAGTTCGATTCCTTCAGCAAGTGGGTATACCGTGAATGGATGACCTGCCCTGCATCTAATTTTCACTCTGAGTCCAATTCCACTGAGTCGAACTCTTTTCATCATGATTGATCAAGGCAGTGCCCAAAATAAATCTTTATTCTTTTGAGTACCCAAGCGGTTGGTTTAGAGTAACGATGCTGCTGATTGTAGTAAAGTTCTTTCGTCTGCTGTTCGTTTAAACTTCTCGACAGTCGGCTACATAAACGATCTGTGTAAACCATTTGAAGATATGCGAAAGTAGACAGATCACGAAATAATTTTTCACAACTTTGCGATCGTTATTCTTGAATATCAGAATCTCAACGGAGTCCTGCACTCTCTAGTGAAGACTTGGCTTCTGACCAAGAATTTCCTACAATTCCTGACCGGCCGGTCTTTACATGACAACGGTCAGTTGATTTCTTGCTGGAGGACATTTTCTTTTCTCCTGAGACAGTGCACGCTGAACTTCGTTGATGAAGATGAATTCTATGCTCTCGAACGACTGGGCTCTTGGCAATGGATGCCATGCCCGTATTCTACGAGTACGGTGGAGTCCATTCCGATCACTTCGTTATCACCCCAGCCTTGTCTGTCGTACAGTGCCGTCACAATTAGTCTATAGAGCGCTAATTCCTTGTTGCACTGTATAGAGTTTCTGTGATCTTCAGGCGTTCTTTTGAGTCTTAACTTTGGAAAATTTTCGAAGACCTCTATGAATTTTTAACTTGCCAGCTAGCAGAGAAGGTATTACTATGCCTGGTTGCTACTCTCTTTCGTTTCATGTTCATTTTTTTCTTCTACGAAAGACTTCCTGGTATCTGTGACATTCTTTCACTCGTTCTCTTACCTATTTCCACTTTAGCTCGAGTTTGTCAGCAAGGTTCTGACTGTCCCGTTTAAAAAAACGACGAGTTCCAGTCTTTATTCAATGATCAGTGAAGCATTCGAAGATGCTCTTGAATGCAAGCGAGCGAAACGAATCGTGTCCACGCCACTTGTGTGTGTCTGAAAGTGTGAAGAAACCTGACGAACATTCCTTTTCAGTTTTGGTACCGGATTGAAACGGCGTAAGCACCGGCCCCTTGCTTCTAGTAGCCGAGGGGACCATTTAAGCAGGCGACGGTTCCATGCTATTTAAGCACCTGCGGTATCATAAACCTAAAAAGGATTAAATATCCTAGCGGCGGTATCAAAAACTAGAGTATGCTAGTAAACCGATAAAATCGAGTTTTAATTTTGTTTATAAATATGCCTACGGATGGTGGTTTTTTTCAGGTGTCCAAACAGGTCCTTACTCGACCCTCCTAATGATGCGGTTTTGTGTCCGGGCACTCCAAGCTCAAATACCATTAAGCCGTGGCCTGCTTAAACGGTCCCCTAGACCACTAGAAGCAAGAGGACGGTACTCACGCCTCATCAATCCGGTATTAAATTCTGAAATGGATTATATATCCCTGTGGTTGTATCAAAAACTAGCAGTATGCAAGTAAATAATCCATAAGATCGGGTTAAATTTTTCTGACGGACATTGATTGTTGAAATTCGTGCTTCATGTCGTCCTTACTTTACACGCGGGTGGTATTTGTCCTAGCCGCTGTCATCCTGAAATGGTTAATTGCAGGCGACGAATAGCGGAGAATTAATGATAACACTTAATCATATCATGGTGTCAATCACATGGAAGATCACTGTATTGAACTGTGCACAAGTACACCGTTTTGTGTTGAGGTTTCAGTATGACTTCTAAATCACCAATAACTGCTGCATTTCTTCTGTTATCGGTTCCTGTTGTAATCTCTGAACTTTATCACCTCATTCTCATTTCCATTATCATTACCATGGCGTTTGCCCTTGCCGAACCTTAATTGCACAACAGTCAGATTGCAGCTCGTTTCACATTTGACGACTGTTTTATCACTTTCTTTCAACGTGATAAGATCTGCCTGTCTGTCGAGCGCATGCCTTTTTCATCGTATGATTATGTACATAGATCAGCATAAGTGCCCAACGCTTTATGGCGGAAGATAAGCAGAATTTAAAGCAGTTACTCGGCATGGTGCTTTCGACAGAGAGAGGTTATTTTCGACAAGGCTGGTCGGTCTAGACGAGGAAAACGTCGACAAGACATGCGGTCGGCGCGAAGCAGAAAACGGCTTGAATAAGTTACAACTGAACGGAGTCGTAAACAACGGCAACGACGGTTTTTGTGGCACAAAAATGGATATGAATTTCACACGTACTGTTTTTGTGTGGCGGTAGACTCGATTTACGT